TGTTTTTTACCGAATTCGGACATTTTTTTAAACTCTTCTCGTTGTTTTGGTTGCCGACCACTGGATTCGACGGACGCTTAAACCCTCGACTGAACTCGGCACTTCCTTGTGGGGTGGAGGGTGTCGGAGGAGAGGACAGGGGGTGGGACCGGCGTCGATAAGAGACTATGAGGCCACGTGGCTCGTGACCTTCACTCAAGAAGGCCGCCACAATGGGTCAGACCCCTCCAGAGTATCAATGCCGAGACAAAGCCCTCTTTCTATCGGCGCCGATCCACAGCATTTGACCTTGTCTCTAGCGACAACTACAACGGGCAGCCCCCCCCGCCTACCGCCCTCCTCCAAAAAATAGAAAACTCTAGCCTCATCCTTTGTCCGATACCACCTCCTCCACTTTCCACCTATCGCCTGCGGGTCTATACTCGGTACTCAACTCGCCCACCACCCCTCCCGCCTACTCCCCCCCCCCGGCCTTTTGACTTTTGTTTTCATTTGCACAGACGGAGAGAGAGAGCGAGTGCGGGAGAGATAAGACCGCACCCTCGATATTGGTGTCGACTTAATTATTTAATTAGTGGCGTGCCCGCTTAATTAATTATTTACGTGTGGGGGTGGGTGTCGGGGTGCCGGCTGGGTCGGGTCGGGTCAGAGGTCGCCGCCGCTAATTGCCACTCAATCTGTTTCCGTCGCACGTGCGAGCAGCGGGGCCCGGATGTGGGCAGAGCGGTGGCATCCGCGGACATCAATGAAGCCTCCCATTGAACTCATTAAACATTCAAGTGATTCATTAATTAATCGATCGATGAAGCGGGTAATCAATTGATTAATGAAATGCAGCTCCCCCCCCCCACCGTTGTCAATCCACCGCCTGGGTCGAAGCCGCTTCGCCCACGCCGCGTCGGTCGTCCGGGGTTGTTTGGCCATACTTCACCACGCTGGTTCAGTGTCAGTTTGGCCGACGAGGTGTCCCGGGGGTGGTGCTAAACCTCACGCGGCCAAGTGATCGAACTCACGCGGACTGGTTGCGGGGGGGGGGGGGGCGCAGTGCGCTAACCGCTGCGCCACCACTCCGCACTAAAGGGAATAATGATTGAATTTGCAACGAAACCATTAACAAAGAATTGTCTTACCACTAAGCCGATGGTGTAAGGTATTCCACACAAGCGAAAATAATTGCGGATATATTAGTGCCAAACACATGCCACTCAATTAATCAATCGATTCCCGCGCGTTCCCGGCGAAAGCTTCCTTCTCCGCGTTCTGAAATCTGTGATCCCACGGGAACGGTGATCCTATGGGAACCGGCGTGACCTCATGATCCGCTTCTCCCTTTCGCATGGCGTAATGAAGAGGAGCAAACGCAGGCAGAGTCTGGCGGAATCGATTGAGTCACTCAATTGCCCCTCGTCTGAGAGTCGGTGAATTGCAGATGCACCGAAGCCATCCATCCACACCCACCACCGCAACAAAATTGAACAGAGACGGAGGGCACCGCATCGTCACCGCCGCCGCCGCCGCCACCGCCACCGCGGCCCTTTCAGATGCGCTTCTGCGGCAAGTCTGAAACGCTCTTCCCTTCCGATGTTAGGAATGCCACTGCAGCTGTGCACTTTGAAAACGTCCGGATTGTTAAACTCATTCCTTTGGAACTGCTTTTTGTGTTTAGTTCGTTGTCCTTCCTGCGCACCTCCGATTGGCACGGTTGGCTACGTACGGTGCGACATAAGTTCAACATACACAAATACATAATATATACTTCGCGCGGTGAAAAGTTCTGCGCTCCTGCATGGTTCGGAGTTTAGCCTTGAACAGATTGTTGGGGGGAAGAGCTGTTCGCGAGCACCTCTGCGCGTGTATGTATATTGAACTTCTTTCCCACCTGATGAAGGCCTCAACGGCACACGACAAGGTAGGTGGCCAATACCACACCCGGCAACCGTTCTCTCCCGAGTGCTGGTGCTTAGAGACGGCACCAAGGTACTCATTGAAGGCTGAGTCGACCTAGAGGAGGTTCAGGACCGGTTCAAATATTCGCCACTGTCATTGGTCGTGAGCGGAAATCGAGCTCGGGTCGCCAGGGTCATAGGGCAATGCCCTCACCGCTCCAGAAAACCGCTCCATCCAGTACTCGCACCCCAGCAACAGCAGCCTTGATTCATCTACTGCTGGATGGAGGCTCCCCTCACTCCCCTCCCCAAGCCTGCGCGACGCAACGAGCCGACTCGATCCTGCTGCGCGTAGTCGTGGCGGCCAAAGGCCTTGGCCACGTCCCCTCCTTTCGGACGCCACTCCGCCTCTCCGTCTCGACTGGCGTCCTTTATTAGACAGCGGAGGGCCGGAAACCCGCGGCTCCGGAGCTGTGTGGCTCTTCAAGGGCTGCTGCTTCGTGACGTCGGCTATCAAGGACCCCCACGGTTCATTTGCGGCCCTTGAAATATTGAGGATTTCTTTTTTTCTCCAGCGAATTCGAAATAAAAGGCTCTCCTCGCTATTTTGGTTGTCGACCCGTGTTCGATAGGGGACGTCAATGTGATGTGTTTAACTTGCAGGACCGGACCCCCCCCATCCCCTCGTGCCCCCCCGCCTTCCTCTATGCCATCTGGTTCTCACTCAGGCACCCCACCCACCCTTGCCCCCCCCACCAACCCCACCCCCCCCAAATAAAACCACAACATTCTCTCGAGAGAAATCTGCGCAGTGTAAACACGAAGTGGCGAGGCAAGGCGGTGGCGGTGGTGAGGAATCTTAAGCCCCCCTGGCTTTGAAGCCCAGAGCACGTGGCGGTGCGCGCCGGAGCCATTTGCCCGCGTGGGGACGTAAATTGTCTGCCTGCCCCCCCCCGCCACCACCCCGTGCGTGTTGCGCGTGAGAACGAACGCGCCAAGCCGGATCGAGACTGTGTTTTTTTTTTATAGAGAGAACGAGGCGCGTGGTGGCCACTACGAACCCACGAGTCGTGATGGACCTACTACTTATCTCATGCTATATTTATAGAGAGTGAGAGAGACAGAGAGCACCTTCGCATCTCTATAGCCGAAATTAAAAGCGGTCGCAAAAATATAAAATCGAGTGATTTAGATGTCAGGGTGGGGGGGGGGGGGCAGTGCGAGGGCCGAGGAATGAGAGACCGTAACAAAGGGCACGTGGAGGGGGGTCACGGAATGGCTCTGGGGGAGGGACGGCATTGAGTGGAGGGGTGACGGGGGGGTGTAGAAGAGGTGAGGCTTGAAGAGAGGAACGGAAGGAGGTGAAGGAGGTGGTTGGTGAAGGGCGCGGTAGATACAATTAGCACTCACTCGCCGCCTAATGTTAGTCGTGCGTGGGATTTAAATTACTACGCCTGGGTTCGTAGCGCAGTGCGCTAACCACTACGTCACTATTCCCCCGCCATTGAGTGTATCGCGGTGATATGTTGATGCATACTGTGCAGTAAATCTTCTCGATTATAGCGTTTCTCAAAGAGTCACATTGTTTGAGAACATTTCTAAAGTTGTAGACGCAGTAACATTACAGAATGCAGACCATTTCATAGTACAATGAGTTACAGAGCATTTAAGGACCGAGCGAGTCCGGAGTCTCAAGGCGCATTCTAAAGAGGCAACTGCCTGCCTTGTGATGTTTGGAAAGCGTCCTTAACATCCCTAAAATACACTCCAAGCCATGCACGCGTATACATGAAGAGTCAATCCACTGCTGGATGAGGGCCTCCCCACGCCGTGCAGGCCATTTGGGGGGGGGGGGGGGGTTATTTGACCATACTTCACCACACTGGTCAGTACGGGTCGGTGAAGGTTGGGGAGTGCAGAACAGCAATTGACTTTGTACTAAAGTTCAACCTCAGGCCTTGCTGCTGAGTCACCCTTTGTGCCGCACAGGGGCAGCTGCCACCGGGGGTGCCCTTTCAAATGGAAGTCGCCGCTTATCGCCACGGTGGCGAGATGTTAACTGGCCTCGCCTGGTATACGGGGGATCGTGGGTTCGATCCCGACCCTGATGCCTGCTGTATATTTGGAGTTTGCGTGTTTCTCTCCCTGTGGTCGCGTCGATTTTACTCCGGGTCCTCCGGTTTTCTCTCTCTCTGCATTTAGAACCAACGTCACGCGTTTAGAGCATTTGGCTGCTTTAAATGTCCACGTGATGAGAAGCCATTTCGTTGAGCTATCATTTGTGGCCAGGTCGCTTCTGAAATAAGTAATATTTCAAAAGACTTATTTTTTAAAACACGCTTTAATGAAACGTACTAGTAATGGAAAAACTCCACGACTCCAGCAAGTGGCCCCGAAGCTTGCCATAACGTAACGTAAGGGACCGTGGTGATTTACAGCCAACGTCAGTTGACCGTGGACAATTAGACCCAAGCCGAAACATAACATATAAAACAGAATTTAAAAAAAATATATTTTATTTTTAATGATATAATATAGTATTGTCATCAGTATGACATAAGCATACCAAGTTTGCAGTTGATACCACATTGGGAAGTGGGTTAAAATTTAGTTACAAGATTTGAGAATACAATAACATAGTGAGTTAATAAAAAGCGTGTAATCATAAAATAATAAAAATACCTACGTAGCAGCTGAGTGGGCCTGACCTGGTAAAATAAAAATAGTTAAATCGTTATTTTGCGTTAAAGTACTCTGAGATGTCCCGGTTTAATGGGGCGCTCTCTCCAAAACAAATCACTATCATCCGTTTATCCAGCAGTGGATTGACCATGGCTGATGATTAACAAAAAAATCCTCAACACGTTCGTCAGTAACTGTGTCGCGTAAAAAAAAATCTAATAGGCGACGTTTCGGGCAATATGCTTTCTTCAGAGCACGTTTTATATATATTTTACTTTTAAGGCCATAGTGTTGTTATTAACGAATGCGTTTAACTTTCTTCGTTCACTGTGCTTGTGCACCGCTGCCAACGAGCGTTACAAAAAAATCAATATTCTAATTCTGATCAATGATCATTAAAGGTTCAGTGTAAAATGTGAAGTCCACACGTGGGTGGGGGAGCACGTGACTGGCCCGCCGCCCCACGTGACCTCGCCTCCCCACGTAACCCCCTGCAGCAATGGCGGCGCGCAAGGGACACCACGCTGACCGTTCGCAGGCCGGGTCCGCGGAGCCTCGCGTTCCGGCAGAGAGCGATGGAAACGCGGAGGAGGGAGACTTCAACCTCAACGATGTCATGCGACTCGGCGGGAAGAAGGTGACGTTAAATAAAAAAGAACTTTCAAAAACAAAAAAACACGACCTAGGCCTAGACACCGTAAGGGAGGGGAGCCTCGGCTATGCCTGGCTCGGCTACCCGGGAGAGGTGAGGGGAGGCCGGGGAGGCGAGGCGACGAGAGGCTCCTCCCCCCCGCGGTGCTTCCGAAGATTTTGTGTGAACCGCGTGGTTGTGTGGGTGGAACAATGTCCGTAGAGTAGGTGGCGTTCGTTTGCTTTTGGCGTGCTGGTTAATATTTAATATCCGTCTCATTCTACACGTTCCGTAGTCTCCGAATTTTCCACCTGTATTTTAATGCACAACATAGCGGGAGGAGTGCGTCTTATGTATGTGTATAATCAGACACAAAATCATAGACACAAAGTAATCGTTTGCGTCGTTGTGGAGAATATAAATAACATATAAGCAGACACGTCTCATTAATTTAACTGTCTATAATAAAAAAATAACTAGATTTTATATACTGTACAACTATTAAGTTCTTCTGAGAGTGTGAATAATTTTAGCAGCAGTGATTCAGTAGAAGCAAGCTCCACAGCGGTTTCTACACTCGGGTGTCTCATCAGCAGAGTATATGGGGTGCTGCTTATGTTCCGGAGCGTTTTTATAGTCTGGCGAATGCGGTAATAGTTTAGACTCCAAACAATGATGCGGTATGGCGTCCGCATGCCTGTGATCCAACGCTGTGGAGACAACGGTTGGCGCATCACGCACAATTGTGAACCTCCCAGAAGGGAGGTTCAGTTAGTGTGTTCGTCAACCCGTCTGTGCAGTTTTATTCTCCCACGCGTTTGTCCCACTCATGAGGGGTCCGCTGTCCTTACCAACCTTCTGCATACTTCCCTGTCTTGCTCCATCTCTCTTTCCGCTCCTCGGACCACCGTGTCCGATGGCACCACATCGCCCCCCCACCCTCTTCTTCTGCCATCCTCTTGATCTCTTTCCTTCCACTTGCATCACTTGCACCTTCTGACCCACATCATTTTCCTGTTGTCTCTCCACGTGACTGAACCACACCAGCCTTTTCTCTCTCACCTCTGTGATTTCTATCACCTTGAGTCTTCCCCTCGCTTCATTTCTCACCCAGTTTTTCCTTGTTAAACCCACATCCACCGCAACACAGCTTCATCTCTGTGACTGCCACAGCTTGCATCCTCACTCTTTCTTGTGCCCCAGCACTTGGCCCCAACAAACCGCGCCGTGCAGTTTTCTCTCGCACGCAAAACACTGTTCAAGAAAAATGGGCCAAACATACCAATGCAGGGGCCTCGTGAAAATTCGTCTTGAGGCTCAGTGGGCTGTTGTTTAGAGTTGGCTGAACTGAACATGTTTCATGCATTTTATCCGAGGTTGGTAAGCTGCGATTCACGTCGTAAATCACGTGTCACGTCGTAAATCACGTGTTCATATAAGAGAAGTTTGTTGCACTTTTATACACCCATTTTCAGCTATACCAGACGATTGCAATTTATCTCGGGTTTTTTTGCATTTAATTATTGTCACTCAAGACACTGCAGAAACGGTGGGCATATATTGGCTTCTTAGAGAGAAAGAGATTAATCAGTCCTGTATGTTGTGCACTGTGTTCACTTGACCCAGTAAGCCACTATCCATTCACCAGTGTTCAAACATAACAATTTCTTTCAACGAATCGTGACCATGAAGTGCTGCAATTCGCCCAGTCACTGCGAGTGTGAATCGTTGCACCCACGCTTTATGCTGTGGCGTTAATCTCTGCATCGTGCCTGTTTTGTTGACCCCGGCAGGATGACTACATCATGCTGGCGGCGTTGGACGATGGCATAGAGCTCGTGGATGGAGGGAAGAACCAGGGCATCGATGATCTGGAGGAAGGAGAGCTCCGCACCTTCATCCAGTCGCTCGGCTTCAACAAGCACGAACATCGAATGGACGAGACCCCCGAGGAGGAGCAAGAAGAGGAGGGGGGGCGGCCTCCGGAAGAGGGAGACGCCGTCCGGAAGCGAGGCAAAGCTGGCGCCACCAAGGAGCTCAAGAAGGAGAAGGTGGACAAGAAGAGTAAGAAAACTGAGAAGGTGAAGACGAAAGAAGAGAAGGTGAAGACGAAAGAAGAGAAGGTGAAGGCGAAAGGAGAGAAGGTTAAGGACCGTGCGGTTACCCGTTTGGGCAAAACGGCTGAGGCAAAAGCGCCAGCCAAGAAAAGGGATGGGGCTCGCGAACCGCTGCAGCTGAACGAGGTGTCAAGCAGCACGCACGCTGCCGCTGGCGGCAGGAAGGGCAAGCAGGCGGACGCGCTTGCGTTCACCCCGCGCCAGCATTTGCTCATTAAGCCCGGCGGGAAATGGCATGACATGGAGTACACGAGCGAGACGAACGCCGCCGAGCAGGACGAGGAGCTGGTGCGGCGCCACCTGGAGCTCGCCGAGAAGCTGCTGGACCATGAAGTGGAGCTGTACCGCACGCGGCGCGAGAACCAGAAGGGCGGCAGCTCGTCGTGGATGAAGACGGTGGCGAGCGCCGGCACGCTCGCCGACCGTATGGCGGCGGCGACCATCCTGGTGCAGGACGCGCCCGTGCACAACCTGAGCTGCATCGAGACGGTGCTGTCGCTGGCACGCACCAAGGGCAGCCGGCGCCCCAGCCTCATGGCCGTCGACACGCTCAAGGAGCTGCTCGTCTCGGACCTGCTGCCCGACGGGCGCAAGCTCCGCAACTTCTCGCAGCGGCCCTTCGACCGCCTCGACGAGCTGAGCAGCGGCAACAAGGACGCGCGCGATCGCCGCCTCGTCCTCTGGCTGTACGAGCACCGGCTGAAGCGGCAGGTGGCCGAGCTGGCGCAGACGCTGGACCTGCTGTCGCACGACACGGTGGAGGCGACGAAGCTGCGCGCGGTGGGCGCGGCGCACGAGCTGCTGGGCAGCAAGCCCGAGCAGGAGAAGGCGATGCTCACGCTGCTCACCAACAAGCTGGGCGACCCGGCGCACAAGGTGGCGTCGCGAGCCGCCTACCTCCTGGAGGGGCTGCTGGCGCGCCACCCCAACATGAACGGCGTTGTCTGCCGCGAGGTGGAGCGGCTGCTCCACCGGCCTAACGTGGGCGCCAAGGCGCAGTACTACGGCGTGTGCTTCCTCAACCAGGTGGCGCTGAGCCACGATGAGGGCGCCCTCGCCGCCAGGCTCGTGGGCGTCTACTTCTCGTTCTTCCGCTCGTTCGTGAAGAAGGGCGAGGTGGACTCGCGCATGCTGGGCGCGCTGCTGAGCGGCGTGAACCGCGCCTACCCCTACGCCGAGCTGGCCGACGGGGCGCTGAGCGAGCAGCTGAACACGCTGTTTCGCGTTGCGCAGGTCTCCGCGTTCAACACCGGCGTGCAGGCGCTCATGCTGCTCTTCCAGGTGATGGACTCGCAGCAGGCGCTCTCCGACCGCTACTACTCGGCGCTCTACAGGTTCGTCCGCGCGATCGCGCTGCGTCGTCACGCCGTTTGCCGGTGCTGCGAACTCCGCTTTTAAATGAGCAAATTAAAAAAATATGTACGCGTATTTTTATCTTACACGTTTTTTATTCCAGTTGCGCTGTTGGCATCGCGCGATGTGCAGGCATGTTAAGCGTGACGCCGCGAGACGGCGGATACGTTTGGATCCCTCGTGGGGTGGTGTGCGTTTAGAAATGCGCGTTGGGAGTATTTGGCTGCTGTACATTTCCACGTCGTAAGTCACTTTGTTGAATCTAGATTTGAAGTTTTCGTGACTGCAGGGATCCATACTCAGCAATTGTTTCTTGCTGTGGTTGTCCCACCTGATGACGGGCGCTTGCGTTTTAATTTATTTTATTTTATGCCTACGTGACTTTACCGAAAGAACCAAAGAGTATGGATTACTTTGTTGAGCTCTCATTTGAAAAAAGAGCTATCTAGCTCAGTGGGCTTTACCTGGTAAAATAAAAGGTTATTGTTACCCCTTCGTCTTCGAGCACAGCCCCGCGGGAGTGGAAATCGCAACTACTTCTTACGATCCCTTCAATTGTTCTCCGGTCCACACTCCAGGGGGCAGCACCCTCCCACGCGCTCCGCTCCAGAGAGCGTAACCGTGAAGCCGATCGCCGCCCCTGCGACGTCCACTGCCCTCGCCCCCCCCCCTCTCGCCCTTGTCCGCACCCCCCCGCCCCCTCCTCCACCCTCCACTCAAACCCCCCCCCCCCCCGCCCCCTCGCAGGAAGCTGCTGGACCCAGGCCTGTCGTCGTCGTCCAAGCCCAGCATGTTCCTGAACCTGCTGTACAAGTCGCTGAAGGCCGACGTGGTGGCGCGCCGCGTCAAGGCGTTCGTCAAGCGCCTGCTGCAGGTGGCGTGCGCCCAGAGCGCCGCGTTCGTGTGCGCCGCGCTGCTGCTCGTCTCCGAGGTGCTGCGCATGCGCCCCGAGCTGCGCTCCATCCTGGACACGCGCGCGGTGAGGAAGGAGGCTTGACGCACGCGCGCACCCACGCACCCACGCACCCACGCACGCACGCACCCACGCACCCACGCACCCACGCACCCACGCACGCACGCACGCACGCACGCACGCACGCGGCCGCGCGCTTTACGCGCGCAACTATAGAACGACGGAGGAAAAACCAGCGGGTCGCTTCGTCAAGTGACCGATGGCGCCGTTGGCGGTGGAGGAGGGAGGGAGGGAGGGAAGGCCAAGTGGGTTTGGGTTTGCTGTAAAATTCCCGATCGTATTCAGACACTCGAGCCAGACGCTCGAGCCGGCTTGACGCGAACCCGAACCGCACAGCCAATCAGCAACCAGCGATAATGAGACTCATGTCTGGATAGCCAACCAACCGCAAGTACTAGCTACTAGTACTTGCACACATCCGAACCAACGAGGCAACCACTCGCAGTAATCACACCCTTAACACTAGGTATCCAGCCAAGCATTATTACTAGCAATTCCCTCAACTAGCTAGCCGGATAGCTGGCTAGCCAGCCATAGCTCTAACCAACTAGCCACCCAGCCACGGGTACAAGCACTGTCAGCGACTGTTACCACAGCGAGTCGGGGGGGTCGGGCGGGTTGATTGGCTTCCAACAATCGCAGGACTCCGACGACGAGGAGCACTTTGAGGACGCGGCGGAGGAGGACGAGGACGAGGTGGACGGGAAGGAGCGAGCGAAGGGGGCGAGCGGCGCGTTCTCAAAGCCCGGGGTCACGGAGTCGAACCCGGAGGCTGTGGCGCAGGGCGAGGACGGGAAGAGCGCAGCGCCCGCTCGCGCTGGCTCGTCCGCACGCGCCTCCTGGGTTCACCATCGCAACCGGGAGGGTGAGTGTGGAGTCATCGGCGGAGTCATTGGCGTCGTTCTCGGCATCGTCGGCGTCGTTCTCGGCATCGTCGGCGTCGTCATCAGCATCGTCGTCATCAGCATCGTTATCAGCATCGTCGTCGGCGTCGGCATTATTGACGTCCTCACATTCGCCGTCGTCACTTTTTCTTGCAGGGAGAGGTGCTCGCCAGCTCTTGACCTCTCTTCTTGTCTCCGTGTCTCCCTGTGTCTCGCGTGCGGGAGCAGGAGACCGCACGGGCGGCGTGTACGACCCGACGCACAGGAACCCCCTCTACTGCTCCGCCGACAAAGCGTCGCTCTGGGAGCTGCGTCTGGTGAGCCACGCCGCGGCCCAAACCGGCACCCTGTAACCCCGTGGCGCGCTGTCGAGGCATGCCTCTTGTGAAAGTCTGTCGACGTGGTGCCGGTATCCCTGGCTCGCTAGAAGGCAGTGCAGAAAGTGGGATCATCGCCATCCATTTCCAGCCGTACCGGGGATCGGGTGTTAATATTAAACTAAACTCTTTATTTTACCTAGTAAGGTCCCACCGAGCTATGCTGCTCTTTTTCAGAAGTGACCTGGCGATCACCAATGATTGCTCAACGAAGTGGCTCGTCATCACGTGGACATTGATAGCAGCCAACTACTCTACACGCACATTGATTCTAAATGTGGAGGGAAAAACCGGAGGACCCGGAGAAAAATACACGTTGAGAGAGACACGCAAACTCTACATATACAGGCGTCGGGGTCGGGATCGAACCCACGACCTCCTGTATATTAGGCGACGTAGTTAACATCTCCCCACCGTGGCGCGCATACGCTAGTAGAAGAAATGGCTGGAAACATTTATTAAAAAACAAACATTTTTGCATGACACCCCTGCGAAAAAACAAAAATTTCCTACTCGTGGCTCTCCTGGATAGATAAAAAAAAACCCCTACAAATTCCATCGAACCGCACAGCGACCGAGGACGGAAGGAGCCGGCTTCACGGTTTCCTTACGTGGCCAGCGACGGTGAATGATGGTGGTGACCACCCGAATCGACAGGGGGGCTATCAAGCAATCCACTCGTCGTGGCCGTCTCGGGCCACGTTCGCGACGCCTTTGGGTGTCATCTTTTATTTGAGCTCGGCGTGCATGAGAAACGACGGTAAGCACCCACCCCACGCTCCCCGCCTCCTTGCACTCAGTTGTTCGTGATTAACGTCGTTGTTGTTGTTGTTTTTTTGTATGTTGGTGTTTGTTGTTGCAGCTTGCCAACCACTATCACCCATCTGCAGCCTTGTTCGCCAACACCATCCTCCAGGTACAGACATCTCGCGAGCACCATCCTGCCCTACCTGTGTGTGAGTGTGTATAGTGGGGAGCGGTGGTGTAGCGGTTAGCGCGCTGCGCTACGAACCTGGCGACCCGGGTTCGATTCCCGCTCATGGCCAACACCCAGTGACGATTATCTGAAAAGGTCCTGGGGCTCCCCTAGGTCGACTCAGCTTTCAATGATTACCTGGTGTGGTGTGTAAACATCGCCACTGGGGAGGCAAAGGAAGGCCGAGCATGGTGTTGGCACCCCCCCCTCCCCATGTGCCGTGCCAGCCTTCATAGGTGCTCGCTGACAGCACTTTCTTCTGTAGTCTGTTAAGGCTATGTGGGGGATCTTGACTTAAAGCTTTCGTGACTGCAGGAATTCATCTTCTTTGAGTCTTTCGGTAAAGTCACGTAGATAGGTTCAAAGAAAATAACAAAAAACTACGACGTTTCGATCGCAACACAAGCGGTCTTTTATATATACACCCACACACACACGCGCGCAGTGGAAGTGGGAGAGTCAGCCATAGGCATCCGGCAAACGGGGTGGGGGGCGGGGGAGAGAAAGTAAAACAAACAAAACCACAAAACTCTCCGGGGTCGGAGGTCGTGGGGTCGTCTCGAGGTCGCCGTTCCTGCGCGCGCGTTCACGTGGCCCCAGCCGATGCGCCAACCGCGGTGCCGGGGCGAAGCCGCTCGCTCCCAACGCGCTGGCACGCTGGCGCGCGGGGCCGGCGCTAGCTCGCGGGGTCAGCGATGCCGGGTCAGCGCCGGGGGAGTGCGGCGCTCGCCGGACTGCAAGGCAAACGCTGGCAGCTTGAGCTCAATCCCGCGTCCGACGGTCGTCGCCTCGGCCGTCGATCCTCGTCCCGTTGCTGTCGGCTCTCGTTTTGTTGTACCTGGCCATCAACGTCGGGTGCAGAATTTGGCGAGTCGTTGCCGTAAAGCGGCTGGGAGGATGTATCGCCAAAGCGGTCCGCCCCCCACCTTGCGGTACGTACGTATGCGTGCTGAACTTCTTTGGCACCGTGCATAGCCAACCGTTGCGAATCGGTGGTGCGAAACCAAAGGTGCCGCGGTGTCGCCGAACCACTGTTCACGCGTCACGCCGACAACAGGTCTTCTCACCGCACGGACAAAAAAAGGAATCCAGGTTTATTTATGCATATATATTTTTATTTTCAATGTGAATCCTAACGGATCGTCGCCACGCGTCCCATCGCGACGGAAGAACCGCGCTCCACGCTCGCAACGATCGCGGCTCCGGCCCCCACGCTTGTTTGGTCCCAAAAAAAAAATAACAAAATTCTTTCCACCGCTACTGCTGCTGCTGCTGCTTGCTCCTGAAGGAATGGAAACGATCCCCCCCCCCTCCCCCCTCTGCTACCCCCCCCCCCCCCCACACCGCCCAGCCGTCGCGGCCCAATTAATGACGCCGGAGTTATGTTGTAACGAGCGGCGTAGCGCGGCGCTGGTGCCGCGTGAGATGAGAACGCGCTGATGGACGCGCCGAGAGTGCCGCGCATGCCTCAGAGCGCCCTGTTATGGAAAGCGCCCAGCGCGGTTATTCCTTAGCTTTGTGCGTGTGTGCGCGCGTGAACTCGTGTGAGTGTGTGCGTGCGTGCGAGTGAGCGATTGTATGTGCTCGCTAACAGCACTTGCCCCAACAGTCTCTATGGGGGATCTTTATCTTTGTGCGTGCAAATCGGTCCAGAGAGGGCTGTGGTGTGAGGAGCGGTGGTGCAGTGGTTAGCACACTGCGCTACAAACTCAACGACCCGAGTTCACGATCAATATAACAGTCACGAATATCTGAACCAGTCCCGGGCCTCCCCTAGGTCGACTCAGCCTCCAATGTGTAATTGGTGCGGTGTGTAAACATCGCCATACAGGAGACAAAGCGGCCGGAGGCGGCGCTGGCCACCCACCCCCTCGTGTGAAGTGCCGAGCTTCATAGGTGCTGCTCGCTAACAGCGCTTGCCCCAACAATCTGTTCAGGCTATACGGGGGATCGTTGTCTTTGATTGTGCGTGCAAGGACGAGTGTGCGTGTGTGCGCAGTGCGCCACGAACCCCGGGGTCGATTCTACCCCAAATAAATAGCAGCACCGGGGAGATGGGGTGGTCGGGCGTGGTACCGGCCACCCCCCACCCCCTTGTGCACCGGTCTGGCCTTAATAGGTGCTCGCTCACGGCTCTTGCCCCACCGGTCAGTAGAGGGCACGGGGGGGGGGGGGGGGGGGGGGGCCCGTCTCCGTGTCGTGTCTGCGCGATCTTCCCTCCTCCATGCCCCGGCTCCCACCGCTGCCTCTTCCCGTGCTCGTGAGCAACCGGAGGCGGCCTCGGCACGGCCACGTCGGCCTCGCTCGCCGTGGCCGGATTCTACGCATGTACGTGTACGTTGAACTTCTTTCGCAATGGTACGTAGCCGACCGTGCTAATCGGAGGTGCCGGGGGGGGGGGGTGGGAAGGACGACAAACTAAATCCAGAAAGCTACCGGCGGCGAGCGACGTGATCGAGCGAGCGATTCTGGCAAGGGGCGAAACCCGGCGCACGTGTTAAAGAAGAAATAAGAATCCCACGCGAAAGACTTGGGAGTCGCCCGCGGCCGATCGCGCCTTTCCCGAGCAAATGTTTCCCGTCGGCGTTTTTTGGAGCCGAAAGGAATCCCAAGCTGCCGACCGGGCCCGCTTCGCCTTAATAGTTTGTTGAAACGGCTCAGCGCCGAGTGTTGTTATCAAATTGGACTTTGCGAGGATTGATGGCGTTCCCGCAAATCGGCCGCGATGACATTCCGCGCCGCGCTCTGTGTTTCCAGATATCGCCGGGCGTTATTACGTGAATTATATCAATTTCGCATCAGCGAAATGTCAGCCCCTCGCTCCCTCTTCTCCCTCCGCCTGTAATTAGGCGGGGAGAGCAGCGCTGGCTCTGCCGCCGCCGTTCGTTAGCGACGATCAAATATCATTTATATAACGGATGACATTAACATTCCTTTAATAACTGGCCCGGGGATTAGGTATGTAATATTGGTCGCGTAATTGCATTCCATTAGAGGGAGCTCGGGGTAGAGAGGGTGGTGGTGGGGGAGGGGGGGGCGGCGGTGGGCGGCGGTGGGGGGGGGGGGGAGCGCCCTGCGCGGCGCTGTGCGGTGGAGAGCGAGCGAGCGGGCGGGCGGGCGGGCGGGCGGCATGCTCGGCAACGCCGATCGCCCCGTCGCCGGCCGTGCCCGGCGACGGGGCGACGCCGCGGGTGGTCTCCACGGTTACTAAGGCGCCGTTCGTTCGCTCGCTCACTCGCTCGCTCGTTGGCTCGTCCATTCATTCGATCGATCGTGTTTTGTTCGTGATACGCGCGTTCGTAACCGCCGTTAGAGGAGGTGGGGGGGACGGGGGGGGGGGGGACAGGGGCGGGGGGCTCAATTCGGGAAGAAGTTCTTGCGACCGCGCTCAATTGACTCGCACGGGTTACGCCTTGCGTGGTGCTGTATGCGGCTGGCCGCTTGGACGTTCCGGGCTGTTGGGCGGCCCCCCCCCCCGTGCCTGGTTGGCCCTGCTGGGCTCCCTGCGCTCTCAAGACTCCCTCGCCATAAACTCACTCCCGACAGCGCCTCGAAAAATATGTTTGTTCGTAAAGTACGAACAAAAACTCCACCACGTATGGGGTTGGTGTTGCGTTGCAGGATTTGTACCTTGGGTGAGGTGCGCTTTGGCAGCCCGAGGGATTTTTTCACTTGATTTTATTTTTTAAACAAAAGCTCAAGTAAATTTTGGGGTTTTCTCGCCGCCCGCTGTTACGATTCCTCGTAACAAAGGCAAAGGTCTCCCATAGAGCCTGAACAGACTTTTGGGGCAAGTGCTGTTAGCGAGTAGCGCCTTTGAAAGCTGGCACGGTGCCCGAGCACCTTTGTCTCCCTGGTGGCGATGTTTACACACCGCTCCAGCCACTCATTTGAGGCTGCGTCGACCTCGGGGTGGGGGGGAGGCCCAGTCCCGGGTCAAATAATCGTCACTGGTGTGGTGTCTCTGCCGGCTCGCCAGGAGACGGCAGTGGAGCAAGTGGACAAATCGCCGTCTGTTACCGTCTGTACGGGGATAGAGCGTTGCTCCATCGCGCCCGGCGTGGGTTTTCTCTTGCGAGCTCTGGTTTCCTCCCGCATGCAAAATGAACGCAACTCATCATTAATTGGCCAAAAGAACCTCTCGTGTGAATCAAAACCCAGCGGCGGTGGCAGCAGCGGCGGCAGCGGGACCCTCGTGAACACGAGTCATCCGTCTCGTGGATAAATCACAAAAAGTATTGTTGTTGTTTGGAATCGAACCGGCGACCTCCGGATCGCAAGTCCGGCACGCTGCTGACCCTCACTCCGCCGTGGCCGCTCCTGGTTTCACGCGCACCGTGCGTGATGCACGATGTGTGATGCACGATGTGTGATGCACGATGTGTGATGCACGATGTGTGATGCACGATGCGTGATGGCGTGATGCGACGCGGTGCGATGCCACGCGCGATCCGATGCGCGATGAGAGATGCGACGCACGATGTGTGATGTGACGCGCGGTGTGTGATGCGATTTGATGTCTGATGTGATGCGTGATGTGATGTCTGATGCGATGCGTGATGTGATGTCTGATGCGATGTGTGATGTGATGTCTGATGCGATGTGTGATGTGATGTCTGATGCGATGCGTGATGTGATGTATGGTGCGATGCGTGATGTGATGTATGGTGCGATGCGTGATGTGATGTCTGATGCGATGCGTGATGTGATGTATGATGTGATGCGTGATGTGATGTCTGATGCGATGCGTGATGTGATGTCTGATGCGTGATGTGATGTATGATGTGATGCATGATGTGATGTATGATGCGTGATGTGATGTATGATGTGATGCGTGATGTGACGCGCGGCGCACAATGTGATGCGGCATCGCGCTTCGGCGCGTCTCACCGCGCGCGGGCACCGTTGCCGCGTCCACAACAAACGCGGCATTCAGCTACCGCTCCCTCGCTCCCTCGCTCCCTCGCTCCCGCTCGCTCTCTCTCTCGGGTGCTCGCTCTAAAGTTCCGTTGAGAAAATATTTACTCGCGGGACTCCTCCCCCCAGCAGCGATGTTGAAAGAGATGTTTTGTTACCTCCACGGGAGTTTGTTTAGAGTTTCCCTCCCGCTCGTTACTTCACGTTGGCGGCGATCTGAAACGCGGAGACTGGGGGAGTCGTAACGCTCTCTCCCCCCTCCCCCCCCGTCTCCCCGCTGCAGGGCGAGTGCGTGAGCTACACGAGCGACCCCCTGCAGGACTTCACCCTCATGCGCTTCCTCGACCGCTTCGTCTACCGCAACCCCAAGCAGCAGCGCGGGGAAGGTGGGGGCCTCGAGCCGTGAGCGGTCTGAACGCGGGGGGGGGGGGGGGGGGGGGCCGAGTTGGCCCCCGGGGCAAAGCGGGGGGAGGGGGGGGGGCAAGGTGGGGGCAGGGAGGGGGGTGAATCGAAGACTGAAGGAAAGCGGCGCTTCGTGAAAGTTTATTTTGAGCCATCGAGAGTACCGTGTGTACACACACGCGCGTGTACACACACACACACGCACGTGTACACACACACACACGCGCGTGTACACACACACACACGCGTGTGTGTGTGTGTGTACACACACACACGCGTGTGCCAGTGCTCGCCATGCGTGCACACACGTGTGTGTACACGCACAAAGCACGGGCGTGCACATACACGTGGAAGGGCGCGTGCGTGTGTCCACACGCGCACGGACAGGGGAGGCAAAGTGTCGCCACTGCACGGCTGAGCGCAGATGAACTTTGACCTCGGGGGGGGGGGGGGCGGGTTGGGCGGGGGCGACCTCCAGTGAATTAGTTTGGAAGTTGGGAGTTTCACGTTTACAGCTTCATTATTGTACTGGGGTATTGCTTTTAAAATTGCAGAGTGCAAGCGGAGGAAGTGACTCTGCCAAAAATATTATTAGGAATTCATTCAATTGGTTTGTTTTATTTAAGAGACCGGGCGAGGGCCCACAGAGACCAGAAGGTTCTTTTTCAAGAGGGCAATAATTAAAAATGCAGTAAACCGGGGGATGCAAATTGGAGGATGGATTCTTGGAATTCAACGTTCAGCCGCGGAGATGGAGCCATTAGATCGCCGGCATCGCGTGACCGTGAGGGCATGGTGGCGGAGGCCTTCGATCCAGCGGTAGATAGAACACGGCTCACGACGACGATGACGATGATGATGTTGATGATGTTCAGCGTCTCTTTTCTCTTCTTGAGAAATCTGTCCCGCTAAACGGTGCACTCGCATCATCAGCAAAAAAAAATGCAATCAAAAATATTATACCAGTAATTATGATTTACAGCCCCCCCCAATCCACTGCTGGATGAAGGGGGCTGTCAATAGTGGGGTTTTGTTGACCATACTTCACTGCACTGGTCACTGCATGTTGGTGAAGTGGGTGTGGTGGTGGGTGGGTGGGTGGGGCGGAGATGAAATTCGCCACTGACGTTAGCCGTGGCCAGAACTCGAACCCGGGTGCCCAAGTAGCTGACAATGACGACAGCGGCCAACGAACCCACCACCCCCCGCCACCGCTTCACCAGAAAAAAAGAATACTTGAATCTAAAAATGTAACTATTTATAATTTTCCCAGGTAAGGCCCACTGTAGTTTCGAGCGAACAAAACGCCAGCGGAGGCTTCCGCGAAGGCTCTCTCGGCTGTTCTCGAGTTGATCCCCGCCTCGGGGCGTCCGTCCGCCTCTCTCGCCTCGCAGAGACGGTGTCGAGCGCCTCGGTCATGAAGCCCAAGCAGAAGCGCTTCCTCGCCCAAGACATCCGCAACCTGCCAGGTAACGACACTGCGCGCGAACCGCCGGGCGGCGGGGCGTCCGTGGCGGCGGTGGCGACGCTGGTGGGGGGGGGGGCGGTGGGGGGGGGGCGGGGGGGGGGGGGGGGGGGCGGGTGGGGAACGTCCGGCGCCTAAAATGAAAGCGTCAGAGCGGAGACTCCCGAGCCGGCGCTCCCTCCGCGCCGGCTCGTTAATTGGCCGGGGTCGGGCCGGGGTCGAGCCGCGGCTCCGTGGTGCCGAGAGGTCGCCGGGGTGAGAAGTTGTTGTGGGAGGAGGCCGTTGGTGGGGGGGGGGGCGAGCGGCGGTAGCAGGGTCAGGAAGAAGGTTGGTGAGGGGGTTGGGCGGGGGGGGGGGGGGTCGACATAGGGGGTGGGTGCGGGACGTCGGGGGCGGTGGTTGGTCCTGCCGCCACCCTGCCCTCGTGACCTCCGAACTCACCGGGCGAGGAGCTCTGTGCTCCACGCGGGCAACGAGGAGGGCCCCGGAGGGACGGCGCAAACTCCTCCTGTCCGCCAGCGTCTGTCATCACCGGGATTAGTGCCGGGGCTTTGGGCAAATAAATAAATAAATAGGTGGTTAAGTCGGAGGGGGGCGGGGGGCGGGGGGGTAGAGGCTGCGGCCCGGCACTGACTGCGGCGGCCCCTCCCTGGCCCTGCGTTAACCCGTCGTGAGTACGCACACACACACACGCACACACACACACATACACGCACACACACACGCACACACACGCACACACGCACACACACACACACACGCACACACGCACGCACATGCACACACATACACACACACGCACACACGCACACACACGCACACGCACACACGCACACACACGCACACACGCACGCACGCACGCACACACGCACGCACACACGCGCACACGCACACGCACACACGCACACACACACACACGCGCACACACGCACACACGCACACACACGCACACACGCACACACGCACACACGCACACACACACACGCACACACGCATACACGCACACACACATACACACACACACGCGCGCACACACACACGCACACGCACACACATACGCACACACACGCACACACACGCACACACGCACACACGCACACACACACACACGCACACGCATACACACACACGCACACGCACACACACATACACACACACACGCACATGCACACACACACACGCGCACACGCACACACACGCACACGCACACACACACACACACGCACACACACACACACACGCACACACACACACACGCCCCCCCCGTACAGCTATGCGTCCAGGGCTGTGCGTTAATGGGATTGAAGAGACTTGAAAGTTGCTCCTTGGGAGAAGTGTTGCCAAATAGCAAGTCGCGGAGACAGAGGCCCCGAGCCGCGGCGAGCCCCTCGCTGGATAAATGAAGCCTCACGGCGTCGTGGCGACAGCACGGACAGGCGGTCGGACGGACAGAAGGACGGACAAACGGCTGGACAGAGAGACGAAGGCTACGTGGACGAGCGGACAGAGACGTTTTGTGTTATTAATTTTTTTTTTGACTGAGCGTCGCTTTCCAGCTCTTGAGAACTAAACGAACGTCTCCGTCGTCGCCCGAGTGTGGACGGTGGTAATAAGAAGTCGATCGAAGGAGAGTTTTTGGGGAATCGCCTCTGCCTTGTCGGCAAACCCGTGGATCCCGTCCCCTGCAAACAATGGGGTTGATGCGCGAATCTGCTCGAGTTTGGGGGGGCGATTCCCCATCCCGTAGCGTGACGCCGAGAGGGAAATTGGGGTGGGAGAGAGACGTCACTTGGCCAGCAAGGATTCTTTGCACCCAGCGATCTGATGAATCGTCCCAATTCCTTTGGGGGGATAAGTCCTATAGACATTGTCTATTCTCTCGTCCACCTTCCCGTCGTCGGTATTCAGGTGAGGGTCATTCGGTCATAGGCGGCGACCTCCTTCCCCCCCCCCCCCCCCCCCCCCATGTCACGCGACTTTGCTGAGACGCCGTCGCGTTGTGACGTTGCCATGTGTTGTGACGTCGGCACGCGTTGTGACGTCGGTGTGACGTCGGCACGTGTTGTGACGTCGCCACGCGTTGTGACGTTGGTGTGACGTCGGCACGCGCTGTGACGTCGGTGTGACGTCGGCACGTGTTGTGACGTCGCCACGCGCTGTGACGTCGCCACGCGTTGAGACGTCGCCACGCGTTGTGACGTCGCCACGCGTTGTGACGACGTGATGCCCACCTCCTGGCTCACCGCCTGACGGAGCTGGCTGTTGCGGTCGCCGGCGGAAGGTCGCGGCTCTCGCATCGGAGACGTGGGCCTGTGCCGAAGTAGGAACTAAATTGCCACGTTTTGTTTACGCGACGAATCTCACCAACTGGCCACGTCGGCTGGTGGCGGGTTAACGACACGTTTATACTTACTTGATCACTTGATCTAACCCGTAAACAAAACCCTTGATCTGATGCCCCCTCCCTGCCTCCCTCCGCCCCCCCCCCCCCTCTCTGTGCCCCCCCCCCCCCCACGTGGCCCGCAGTGAACAGCAAGGCTTACCTGGAGCTAGACGAGAGCAGGGTCCCCGTGGACGAGCTCTTCTTCTACAGGTGAGGTCGCCCGCACGGTGACGACGCCACCCTGAGGGGGGGGGGGGCGGCGGGGGGGGGGTGGCGGGGGGGGGGGCCGGTGGGGGGGGTGGCGGGGGGGGGGTTGTGGGGGGGGTTTGTTTTTTGTGTTTGCCCGGTGGGCTGGAACGCGACCCATTTTGTATTTCATTAAACAAGGCCGGCTTGACTGGCGGTGGCGGCAGCTGGGGCGGGGGGTCCACGGGTGGGTGGGTGGGCGTCAGGGGGTAGATTGCCTGATAGGGTGGGTGGGTGGGTGGGCAGGTAGGTGGGCGAGTGGGGGGATGGGGCGGATACCTTGGTGCATCAGGTGGCTGGGTGGGCGGGTAGGTGCGTGGGTGGGCAGGTGGGCCGACAGGTAAGTGGGTGGGTAGGTGGGCGGATGGGCGGGTAGGTGGGCGGCGGGGGTGGATAGGTTTGGCTGCTTGCTAGGTGGGCGAGCGAGTGGACCGGGTGTGAAGGTGGGTGGGGTGGGTGGGGTGGGGTGGGTGGGTGTGCAGGTGGGTGGGGTGGGTGGGTGTGAAGGTGGGTGGGGTGGGTGGGTGTGCAGGTGGGTGGGTTGGGGTGGGTGGGTGTGCAGGTGGGTGGGGTGGGTGGGTGTGAAGGTGGGTGGGGTGGGTGGGTGTGCAGGTGGGTGGGCGGCCTGGCAGGCGGGGGTGGTGGGGGGTGCTGCGGGGTGGATGATCGTTTAAAGTATATAAATAAATAAGGGTATAATCCCGCTCTATTGACCTTGAGCCGCCGGGCGGGCGGGGAGATAAGATCGGACGACGCAGGAGCCGAGTAAGTCGACGCGCGGCGACGTTAACCGCGGCGGTGGCGGGTGGAGGGAGGTCAGCCGCTCGGCCGCCGCTAAAGAGCTTCCATTTTCTCCTGCCCCCCCCCCCCGACACCCACCCCACCCGCTTCCCGTGCGGCTGCCCCGGCCGCGATCATTCCAACGCTCGTGTCCGACCGCGGTTGACAATGTTTGCTGTTGCGTGCCGGCCGTGACGGGGGAGGGGCGGCGGCGGCGGCGGCAGCGGCGGCCGCGTGGAGCCGAGCCGACGAGCACGCGAGCGTTGCGACGTCCCCGGCGGCGGCGGCACCGGGCCAAATCGATCGGCACGCCGCGGGCGCGCGCGTGACGACGGCCGCCGCTCGCCCGGTGCCGGTGACGTCGCCGCGGCTCCCCGCCGCGGCGGTGCTTTGGGCGCGCTTCGAGGCTGCCGCGTGAAGCGTGGGATGGAGGCCGGCCTTCCCACGCTGCCCGCCGCCGCTGGCGGGAGGTCACGGGACAGAACCCCCGTGTGGCCTTGGGAGGCTTTTGGGGCGAGTGCCGTACGCTCGCGCGTGCACGCGCGCGAGTGCACGCACGTGTGCATGCACACGTGCGTGCACACGGACACAATTTCACACTCGTGCATTCACACACGAAGATGAAGATCCCCCCCCTATTTAAACCTAAACAGACTGTGGGGGCAAGTGCTGTTAGCGAGCACTTATGAAGGCCGGAACGGCACACGAGGTGGTTGGTGGCGAGCTCCACGCACGACCGCCTTTGTCTCCCCAGTAGCGATGTTTACACTCCGCACCAGGTACTCATTCGAGGCCGATTTCCCCTAGGGGTGGCCCAGGACCAGGGCCGTTGGCCGTGAGCTGGAATCGAACTCGGGTGGCCGGGTTCGTAGCGCAGCGCGCTAACCGCTACGCTACCGCTCGCCACACACATGCAAAGGCAAAAACACGCGCCTGACACGGGAAACACGTTACACACTGCCGGGGTGCAAACTCCACCCGGGCTTTTGTGAGATAAGGGGGGGGCGGGCGGGAGGGGGCTGGGGGTTTGGGTGGGGGGCGTGGGTGATGTCAGTGGCTGCTCGGGACCAAAAGCTCCTTCCTTTGCCCTCATCAGGTTACGGCCGTTATCGTGAAAAAGTTGTGGAGGGGAGGAGGAGGAGGAGGAGGAGGGGGGGGGAGACACTTGGGACTGTGCAGGAAGAGGATGCGTACGTGCATACGTGTTCCCTGATCACGTGAGCCGTGTTCGAATCGCACCTCTCTCTGCGCTCTCTGCGGTCGGACAGGTGATGTTGCCGTGTGGCCGCCGTCTGGTAGAGGGGGAGAGAGCGAGCGAGAGAGACGTGAATAATTAATGAAAGATGATGATGATGATAATGATGAAAAATAAAAGTTTTCCCCGCTTTCGTTCCAACCGCGCTGCTGTCGCGGCGGTGTCGCGAGACCCGGCGGGCGATGGGAGCTTCGCGCAGAAAGCGGCGCACCCTCCCCTCGCTACCCCCCGCGCCGTGCGACCTACAAATAATTCTGTAATTTGGAACCAGAGTTAATGAGCAACAGCATTAAAGCTGAAAAAATAATGGGCGTGTTTTTATCTGGTGCCTCGCACCGGAACTCCAGCAGGGAGCCGGATTCGAACCCAGGTGTCTCGGCGTCTCTAGGCTGCCTGAGGAGGTGTCAGAGCGACATTGGCCTTCCTCTAAACGTGGCGATTGTGGTGGTGATTGTGGTGGCGATTGTGGTGGGGATTGTGATATTGGTGTTGTTGTTGGTTGTAGGGGTGTTGGTGGTGGTGGTCGTGGTGTTCATGGTAGTGCCGTTGGTGGTAGCGGTTTGTAAACATCGCCACTAGGGAGACAAAGGCGGCCGGGTGTGGTGCTGGCCACCCACCCCCTCGTGTGCCATGCCGGCCTTCATAGGTGCTCGCTGACAGCACTTGCCCCTACAGTCTGTTGAAGCTATACGAGGGGATCTTTGTCTTTGGTGGTAGTGGTACTGGCGGTAGTGCTGGTGGTAGTGGTACTGGCGGTGGTGGTAGTGGCGGTAGTGGTGGTGGTAGTGGTACTGGTAGTGGTGGTGGTAGTGATACTGGCGGTAGTGGTGGTGGTAGTGGTACTGGCGGTGGTGGTGGTAGTGGTACTGGTGGTAGTGGTACTGGCGGCGGTAGTGGTGTTGGTAGTGGTACTGGCGGTGGTGGTGGTATTGGCAGTAGTGGTGGTGGTAGTGGTACTGGCGGTGGTGGTGGTAGTGGTACTGGCGGTACTGGTGGTGGTAGTGGTACTGGCGGCGGTAGTGGTGGTGGTAGTGGTACTGGCGGTAGTGGTGGTAGTGGTACTGGTGGTGGTGGTATTGGCGGTGGTGGTGGTGGTAGTGGTACTGGCGGTAGTGGTGGTGGTAGCGGTAGTGGCGATGGTGGTAGTGGTACTGGCGGTAGTGGTGGTGGTAGTGGCGGTGGTGGTGGTGGTAGTGGTACTGGCGGTAGTGGTAGTGGTACTGGCGGTAGTGGTAGTGGTATTGGCGGTAGTGGTGGTGGTGGTAGTGGTACTGGCGGCAGTGGTGGTGATAGTGGTACTGGCGGTAGTGGTGGTGGTAGTGGTACTGGCGGTGGTGGCGGTGGTGGTGGTTCTGGCGGTAGTGGTGGTGGTAGTGGTACTGGCGGTAGTGGTGGTAGTGGTACTGGTGGTGGTGGTACTGGCGGTGGTGGTGGTGGTGGTAGTGGTACTGGCGGTGGTGGTGGTGGTGGTAGTGGTACTGGCGGTGGTGGTGGTGGTGGTAGTGGTACTGGCGGTGGTGGTACTGGCGGTGGTGGTGGGGGTAGTGGTACTGGTGGTGGTGGTACTGGTTGTAGTGGTACTGGTGATGGTGGTAGTGATACTGGCGGTGGTGGTGGTAGTGGTACTGGCGGTAGTGGTGGTGGTAGTGGTACTGGCGGTGGTGGTGGTGGGACTGGCGGTGGTGGTGGTGGTGGTAGTGGTACTGGCGGTAGTGGTGGTGGTAGTGGTACTGGCGGTGGTGGTGGGGGTAGTGGTACTGGTGGTGGTGGTATTGGTTGTAGTGACGCCGGCGCCCTCCGCTTCCCGGCGACGTGCGACCCCGTCGCCACGTGCGTCCGCGCGCGGTCCCCGGCCTTGTTTTGCGCGCGCGACGTGCTAAACGATCTGTCGCGCCCGCCGACTGGCGTGTGACGGGCAGCGTTTGCCCGGCGCTCGCCCCTCGCTCACCCCTCTTGCCCGTCCGCCCGCTCGGGCTGCTCGTGAGGCCCTGCTCTCCTTTTGACCGTTTGCCGGATCGCCGGATCGGCGGCAGAGGGCTCGAGAGTCGCCCGTCCCCTTGGCCCCGCGTCACCACGGCTGTCCACCAGCACCACCTCCCCCCCCCCCCCCGTCTCCCGCATCCCTCCCGTGCCCCCCTGTCTCTGTCTCCCTCCTCTCTCATTCCTCTCTCTGCTGTCTCCTCTCACCGTTGTCGCCCTCTGCTCGCTTTCCTCTCCCCGTTCGCTTCTCTCTCCCTCTCTACGCCGTCTTTCCCTCTCGTCCAGCGTTGGATTGACTTTCGGCTGATCATGAAGATGTACCTGTGCATTTGGGTTGTACTGGCTTGGGAGGGCACGCATCCAGCAGTGGACGGAGCGTGGCCAACGCTGACGATGTGCGTACGTTGCACGTGCGTGGTGGTGCGGCAGTTTTCGGCGGTGAACGCGCTGCGCCGCGAACCCGGCAACCCGAGTTCGATTTCCCGCTCACGGCTCACGTCGGCGACGGATGTCTGAACCGGGACTGGGCCCTTCCCTCGGTCGACCCGGCTTCGACTTTGTGCCCGGTGCGGCGTGTGAACATCGCCACTGGGCAGACAAAGGCGGCCCGTGCGTGGCGATCGCCACCCCCCCCCATACCCCTCCACCTTCGCGTGCCGTTGGCGGGCCTCCCTCGTCGGTTCTGCTCGCTCAGCGGCGCTTGCCCCGCCGGTGTGTGCCTGGCCAGGTTCTTCAAGCAGCGCGAGGCCGAGCGCGGCCCCAAGCGGCAGCGCCAGGAGGAGGACAACGAGAGCATCGACGACGTCAGCGACGACGAGTTCGAGAGGTTCCTCGGTGAGTGGCGCGCGGTCGCGTCGGCAGTAAGGTCGGGGGTCGGTAGGAGCGGTGGGGTCAGCACCAGTAGGATGGGTATCGGTAGGATCAGCAGCTGTGTACGGTCAGTAGGATCGGTAGTATTAGCAGGATCAGTAGGGTCAGCAGCGGTAGGGTTGGTTGCGGCAGGATCAGCAGCATCAGAATCGGCGGCAGCAGCAGCAGTAGGGATCAGTCGCCAAGTCCACTCAGCTCCACATCCTCCTCTTCCACATCAGCCCATCTCTCCTGTAGCCCGTGCCACTCACCCTTTCACCCACTCACTCACCCACTCACCCATCAGCCCATCTCTGCTCAGCCCATACCACACCCATTAAGCCCCCTCTACCCGGCCAAACAGAAGCTACCGGGCTACGTGACCCAGCAGGGCTACGTGACCCAGCAGCCCACTCGACTCCCGGAGGAGATCACCGACAGGACTGTGTCCAGATCTTATTATAGCCGCGCGCACACAGACACAAAACAAAGACAAAGATCCCCCGTATAGCCTTAGCAGACTTTTGGGGCAAGTGCTGTTAGCGGGAAGCACCTATGAACGGCCTGCACGACACACGGGGGGGGGGGGGGGCGGGTGGATGGCCAGCACCACGCCCGGCCACCTTTGTCTCCCCAGTGGCGTTGTTTGAGGCTGGGTCGACCTAGGGGAGGCCCAGGACCGGTTGAGATGAATCGTCGCCGGTGTTGGCCGCGTTAGCGGGAATCGAACTCGGGTCGCCGGGTTCGTAGCGCGGCGTAGAGCTAACCTCTGCGCCACCGCTCCTCCCGCTTCCCCCCCCACCGCCGCACGGACACGCAGACGCACGCACGGACACGCAGACGCACGCAGACGCACGCAGATGCACGCAGACGCACGCAGACGCACGCACGGACACGCAGGGGTGTTATCTTGCGATGCGTGCGCACGTTTGGCAAGCTCTCCTCGTCCACCACAACCTTCACCACGTCGTCCAAGAGCCAAGGCAGATCTCCGTCTCGCCCGGCGCCCCGCCGATTGACGCTCGCGTGTACCCTGTTGGCAGACACATTTCCTGCGCGCTTGTAATGGTTGTCATTACTTAGGACAGATGCCAAATCACGTTTAAATGGGGAACGGATTTGGACGGAGAGGTGGGGGGTTAGGAGCTAGATGAGAGAGGGAGAGGGGGGGAGGGAGGCGAGGGAGAGAGAAACCCCCATGGCTTCCAGCTGTCGCCACATGATTAAGGTGTCTTGCTGTGGCTGAGCTTTGGTTTTGTCAGAATTATGAAACATGTTCCTTATGTGGAAGGGCCTTTTTTTTGTATAAATTATAACGTCAAATACAGATGTCACGGGAATCGGAAGTTTTGGAGAGGTGTGGGGGGGGTGGCAGGGGAGGGGGGCGAGAAAGTTTGATTTGGGGTTCGTCCGTCTTCGCCGTCTTTGGGACTTGACATCGCGAAGGTTGCAGCGAGCGCTAGCGGCAGCAGCAGCAGCTACACACAGCTAGCGGCAGCAGCAGCTACACACAGCTAGCGGCAGCAGCAGCTACACACAGCTAGCGGCAGCAGCAGCTACACACAGCTAGCGGCAGCAGCAGCAGCTACACACAGCTAGCGGCAGCAGCAGCTACACACAGCTAGCGGCAGCAGCAGCAGCTACACACAGCTAGCGGTAGCAGCAGCAGCTACACACAGCTAGCGGCAGCAGCAGCTACACACAGCTAGCGGCAGCAGCAGCTACACACAGCTAGCAACAGCAGCAGCTACACACAGCTAGCGGTAGCAGCAGCTACACACAGCTAGCGGCAGCAGCAGCAGCTACACACAGCTAGCGGTAGCAGCAGCTACACACAGCTAGCGGTAGCAGCAGCTACATACAGCTAGCGGCAGCAGCAGCTACACACAGCTAGCGGCAGCAGCAGCAGCTACACACAGCTAGCAACAGCAGCAGCTACACACAGCTAGCGGCAGCAGCAGCTACACACAGCTAGCGGCAGCAGCAGCAGCTACACACAGCTAGCGGCAGCAGCAGCTACACACAGCTAGCGGTAGCAGCAGCTACACACAGCTAGCGGCAGCAGCAGCAGCTACACACAGCTAGCGGCAGCAGCAGCTACACACAGCTAGCGGCAGCAGCAGCTACACACAGCTAGCGGCAGCAGCAGCAGCTACACACAGCTAGCGGTAGCAGCAGCTACACACAGCTAGCGGCAGCAGCAGCTACACACAGCTAGCGGCAGCAGCAGCTACACACAGCTAGCGGCAGCAGCAGCAGCTACACACAGCTAGCGGTAGCAGCAGCTACACACAGCTAGCGGTAGCAGCAGCTACACACAGCTAGCGGCGGCAGCAGCAGCAGCAGCTACACACAGCTAGCGGCAGCAGCAGCTACACACAGCTAGCGGCAGCAGCAGCTACACACAGCTAGCGGCAGCAGCAGCTACACACAGCTAGCAACAGCAGCAGCTACACACAGCTAGCGGTAGCAGCAGCTACACACAGCTAGCGGCAGCAGCTACACACAGCTAGCGGCAGCAGCAGCAGCAGCAGCAGCTACACACAGCTAGCGGCAGCAGCAGCTACACACAGCTAGCGGCAGCAGCAGCTACACACAGCTAGCGGCAGCAGCAGCAGCAGCAGCTACACAGAGCTAGCGGCAGCAGCAGCTACACACAGCTAGCGGCAGCAGCAGCTACACACAGCTAGCGGTAGCAGCAGCAGCAGCTACACACAGCTAGCGGTAGCAGCAGCTACACACAGCTAGCGGCAGCAGCAGCTGCACACAGCTAGCAGTAGCAACAGCAGCAGCTACACACAGCTAGCAACAGCAGCTACACACAGCTAGCAACAGCAGCAGCTACACACAGCTAGCGGTAGCAGCAGCAGCAGCTACACACAGCTAGCGGCAGCAGCAGCTGCACACAGCTAGCAGTAGCAACAGCAGCAGCTACACACAGCTAGCAACAGCAGCTACACACAGCTAGCAACAGCAGCAGCTACACACAGCTAGCGGCAGCAGCAGCTACACACAGCTAGCGGCAGCAGCAGCTACACACAGCTAGCGGCAGCAGCAGCTACACACAGCTAGCGGCAGCAGCAGCTACACACAGCTAGCGGCAGCAGCAGCTACACACAGCTAGCGGCAGCAGCAGCTACACACAGCTAGCGGCAGCAGCAGCTACACACAGCTAGCGGCAGCAGCAGCTACACACAGCTAGCGGTAGCAGCAGCAGCTACACACAGCTAGCGGCAGCAGCAGCTACACAACTATCGGTAGCAGCAGCTACACACAGCTAGCGGCAGCAGCTACACACAGCTAGCGGCAGCAGCTACACACAGCTAGCGGCAGCAGCAGCAGCAGCAGCTACACACAGCTAGCGGCAGCAGCAGCTACACACAGCTAGCGGTAGCAGCAGCAGCAGCTACACACAGCTAGCGGCAGCAGCAGCTGCACACAGCTAGCAGTAGCAACAGCAGCAGCTACACACAGCTAGCAACAGCAGCTACACACAGCTAGCAACAGCAGCAGCTACACACAGCTAGCAACAGCAGCTACACACAGCTAGCAACAGCAGCTACACACAGCTAGCGGCAGCAGCAGCTACACACAGCTAGCGGCAGCAGCAGCTACACACAGCTAGCGGCAGCAGCAGCTACACACAGCTAGCGGCAGTAGCAGCTACACACAGCTAGCGGTAGCAGCAGCTACACACAGCTAGCGGCAGCAGCAGCTACACACAGCTAGCGGCAGCAGCAGCTACACACAGCTAGCGGCAGCAGCAGCAGCTACACACAGCTAGCGGCAGCAGCAGCTACACACAGCTAGCGGCAGCAGCAGCAGCTACACACAGCTAGCGGTAGCAGCAGCTACACACAGCTAGCGGCAGCAGCAGCAGCTACACACAGCTAGCGGCAGCAGCAGCAGCTACACACAGCTAGCGGCAGCAGCAGCAGCTACACACAGCTAGCGGCAGCAGCAGCTACACACAGCTAGCGGCAGCAACAGCTACACACAGCTAGTGGCAGCAGCAGCTACATACAGCTAGCGGTAGCAACAGCAGCTACACACAGCTAGCGGCAGCAGCAGCTTCACACAGCTAGCGGCAGCAGCAGCAGCTACACACAGCTAGCGGCAGCAGCAGCTACACACAGCTAGCGGTAGCAACAGCTACACACAGTTAGCGGCAGCAGCAGCTACACACAGCTAGCGGTAACAGCAGCAGCTACACACAGCTAGCGGCAGCAGCAGCTACACACAGCTAGCGCTAGCGGCAGCAGCAGCTACACACAGCTAGCGGTAGCAGCAGCTACACACAGCTAGCGGTAGCAACAGCAGCTACACACAGCTAGCGGTAGCAACAGCAGCAGCTACACACAGCTAGCAACAGTAGCTACACACAGCTAGCGGCAGCAGCAGCTACACACAGCTAGCGGCAGCAGCAGCTGCACACAGCTAGCAACAGCAGCTACACACAGCTAGCGGCAGCAGCAGCTACACAGAGCTAGCGGTAGCAACAGCAGCTACACACAGCTAGCAACAGCAGCTACACACAGCTAGCGGCAGCAGCAGCTACACACAGCTAGCGGTAGCAACAGCAGCTACACACAGCTAGCAACAGCAGCTACACACAGCTTGCGGTAGCAGCAGCTACACACAGCTAGCGGTAGCAGCAGCTACACATAGCTAGCGGTAGCAACAGCAGCTACACACAGCTAGCGGTAGCAACAGCAGCTACACACAGCTAGTGGTAGCAACAGCAGCTACACACAGCTATCGGTAGCAACAGCAGCTACACACAGCTAGCGGTAGCAACAGCAGCTACACACAGCTAGCGGTAGCAACAGCAGCTACACACAGCTAGCGGTAGCAGCAGCAGCTACACACAGCTAGCGGTAGCAACAGCAGCTACACACAGCTAGCGGTAGCAACAGCAGCTACACACAGCTAGCGGTAGCAACAGCAGCTACACACAGCTAGCGGTAGCAACAGCAGCTACACACAGCTAGCAGTAGCAACAGCAGCTACACACAGCTAGCGGCAGCAGCAGCAGCTACACACAGCTAGCGGCAGCAGCAGCAGCTACACACAGCTCGCGGTAGCAACAGCAGCTACACACAGCTAGCGGTAGCAGCAGCAGCTACACAGAGCTAGCAGCAGCTACACACAGCTAGCAGCAGCAGCTACACACAGCTCGCGGTAGCAGCAGCAGCTACACACAGCTAGCGGTAGCAACAGCAGCTACACACAGCTAGCGGTAGCAGCAGCAGCAGCTACACAGAGCTAGCAGCAGCTACACACAGCTAGCAGCAGCAGCAGCTACACACAGCTCGCGGTAGCAGCAGCAGCTACACACAGCTAGCAGTAGCAGCTACACACAGCTAGCGGTAGCAGCAGCTACACACAGCTAGCGGTAGCAGCAGCTACACACAGCTAGCGGTAGCAACATCAGCTACACACAGCTAGCGGTAGCAACAGCAGCTACACACAGCTAGCAGTAGCAACAGCAGCTACACACAGCTACACACAGCTAGCAGTAGCAACAGCAGCTACAGCCAGCTACACACAGCAACACACAGCTAGCGGTAGTAACAGCGACATACAGCAGCACCAGGCAGACTAACGCCCGCTCCGCAGTGCCGCGTGGCCGAGTCGCAGGGACAGCGAGCTGCCGCTGGGGGTGCCCCCTTCCGACGTGTTGTGACGCGCGAGGCGAGTCGCTTTGTCGCGTGCGAAGCGCTCTTGAGAAGCCCCCGGGTCGCCGTCGTCGCTGCTGCTTGTGTCCCGTGCGGGCCTCGGGGCCCATCGCGAAGGCTCGGACGGCAGAGGAGGAAGAGGAGAAGAGGGAAGGGAGAAGCGCGGCTGGCTCGGCGAGGAAGCGTGCTGTCGGATTTCGTCGGCCGGGGGTGATGGGCGATGCGTGCGTGCGTGCGCGGAGCGAGAGAGAGAGAGGGGGAGGGAGGGTGTTGTGGGAGAGAAATAAATTATTCTGGCGGCGGTGGACGGACGGACGGCGGTGTTTGTTATGGCTAAGTTTGTCACCTCCTCGGCCGCTGTTTAGTCTCGCCCGGTCAAAGGCGGCGAGGCTGTGGGCAGCGAGCGGCAGCTGTCAGGGCCCGGTGCTCGCGTGCGCCCGCCCGCCAGCCCGCCCGCCCGCCCGCCAGCCCGCCCGCCCGCCAGCCCGCGCGTGTGTGCACGCGAGTGTGAACGGACTTGCCGATGACTGGTACCAGCGGTGTCAAGATCGGCCTCCTGTGGAGGAGGCTCGTGAAGGACGCTACTGGGCAGTTGGAGGCGACGCTCACAACAACGAGCGGAGCGCCGGGCGGGTAAAACGCAGCGAGAATTTGGCGCAGTGGGGAGCACCGGTGGTGCATCTGCCAGCCATCTCAGTCGGTCAACCCACGGCACCTGGGTCTGTTCTGTGACCTCCTGTCCGCAGCGAGCCTTTGACACTTCACGTGGCCTCAAAGTGCACCTAGCCTGGCACAAGCGCCGTGGTGATGTCGGCGCCACATGGTGGTGAACGGCGGCTCTTGTTGCGTGTACGTACGGGGCAGCGGTAGTGCGGTGGTTAGCGCTGCGCTACGAACCCGGGTTCGATTCCCACCCGGTCCTGGGCCTTCCCTAGGTCAGCTCAGCCTAAAATGAGAATCACAACGAGAGACAAAGGCGGCCCCGGGCGTGGTGTTGCCCACCCACCCCCTCGTGTGCCGTGCCGGCCTCTCATAGGTGCCACCCGCGAACAGAACTTGCCCCAACAGTCTGTGAGGGCTATACACACGCGCGCCACTACGTGTGTACGTAGTGGCGTGCGCGTGTGGTTAGAGGGCGGAACGGTGTACCTCGCCCCCCATAATGACTGTTTTAACAGCTGATTAATCCGTCGAGCGGGCAACCACCACAGCCCCACGTCCCTACGCTCGCGCGTGGCATCGCGTGGCATCGCGTGGCATCGCGTGGCATCGCGTGGCATCGCGTGGCATCGCGTGGCATCGCGTGGCATCGCGTGGCATCGCGTGGCATCGCGTGGCATCGCGTGGCATCGCGTGGCATCGCGTGGCATCGCGTGCGCTCCGAACGGACTGCGTGCGCGCGCACGCACACCCGTTTGTGCGCGTGTCATCGACGCGGAGGGCATGGGGGGGGGGGGGCGGGCGGGGGCGGGTTAATGCGCAGCCACTGCAGTTGCCTCCGCCCGACGGGGCTCTACGCAGGGAGCCCCTATAGGGGAGGAGTAACTTGCCCACTCTGCCACGCCGGCCCGACGTCTTAGAAGCGTTGGGAGTTAACCCGCACGTCACCCCATCGCGCGCGACCCGCCAATCGTAGACCCACTGCGTGGTTGCGCCAACCTCCGAACCCCCATTGTCCCAACGGCTGAACCCCCCCCGCCGTGCCAACCGTTGCGCCCCCGTTGTTGTCCGCAGACACGTACGAGGGGGACGAGGATGACGTGGATCTGCTCAGCGACGGCGACGCCGGCGACGACCTGGACTTTGCCGGGTAACATGTCTCCGCCACGCGCGCGTCGGATTTGGAGAGACGGTTCGACGAGCGCGTTGCCACCAGTGGTGAATGAATGCGTCCCAGAATCCGTGCCGAGATCTCTTTCGGCTGATGAAGCTCGTTGTAATTACCGGTGAAACGTCGTGCTCGGATTGTACATGTCGTGGCTTTGCTGTCCGACGTAACGGTGTGCTGGACTCGTAACGAATTGGCATCTTCTGTTTACGTGACAAAGCCCTCTTGCTTAGTTGGCTGTGTCAGGTAGTGGCGGGTTTAACGACACATTTATATTTTTTACGCGGTCGAACTCAAAAACATTTTGATTTAAAGCTTTCGTGACTGCAGGGATTCATATTCTTAGTAAAGTAATATTTTTTATTATTTTATTGTTTCCCTTCTACGTGACTTTACCGAAATAACTAAGCATATAACTAAAAAAACACTTGCATCATGGGTGATATTGGTCGCGAAAGCTTACTGCGTGTTAAACTCGCTTGGTTTGTTTTTAGTTTTTCTTGCCACTTCCGACGGCGCGGCGCGGAATTATTGCCGCCGTCGCGGCGAGCGTTTGTGTTTCGCGCTTGAAATCTGCGTGCGCGTGATTCGCACGCAGAGTCTCAAGAAAACGCTTTAGGTGCGATCGCCCCCCCCCCCCTCCCCCCCGATTCCTTCTTAGTTTGAACCGTCTCCTCGTTTTCGCGCTCTCGTTGGTGTTGTCTTGTCCGCCCCCGCCACCAGCCCAAGTACGGCGTTAGCCAATTGTGACAATGGACGATTTGTTAATTCAGCTCGACCGATGATGACGATTCTGTGCGTCGTTGCTTGCCGAGCCTGACTACCCCAGGTCTCCCTAGCCAAAGAGACTCCCCCCCCCGCATCAAATGAACCTCGCCTGCCAGGCGCACCGATTGGTTGATCGCAGTGGGAAGCTGGCCTTTAGGTTAACGGCGGGTGGGGGTGGGAGTTCAGGGGTCAGCAAAGATCAGTGCAATTAAATGTCCCTCCCTCCCCCCCACTCCGTCCTCTTCTCCATCTCCTCCGCTCCCTCCCTGCCTCCCTCCATCTCCCCCACTCTCAGCAACATCAAGAAACCAGAGCAGAATAAGAAGAAATCTCAAGGAGGGGACGGCAATGACGACGACGACGACGACGACGACGATGGCGAAGATGACGAAGACCTCGATGACCTGGATGATGAGGAAGTGTCTCTGGGAAGCTTCGACGAGGAGGACTCTGGCGACGAGGTCGGGGAAGATGGCGGAGCGTTCGTGAACGGGGAGGACGACGACGACGACGAGGGGGAGGAAGGGTGGGATGGTGCGTCGACCCACACCGTCAGAGTGATGACCGTCGCACACGCATACACACACACGCACACACACACACGCACACACACACACGCATACACACACACGCGTGCACACACGCACACACACACACGCATACACACACACGCGTGCACACACGCACACACACACACGCGTACACACACACGCGTGCACACACGCACACACACACACGTATACACACACACGCATACACACACGCACACACACGTACACACACACACGCGCGCACACACGCACACACACACACACACGCACACACACACACACACGCGCACACACGCATACACACACGCGCATGCACACACATGCGCACACACGCACACACACGCACACACACGCGCACGCACACACGCGCATGCACACACACGCACGCACATACACACGCACACACACACATCCGCGCACGCACATGCGCACGCGCACAGACAAAGATCCCCCATATAGCCTTAACAGACTGTAGGGGCAAGTGCTGTTAGTGAGCACCTATGAAGGCCGGCACGGCACACGAGGGGGTGGGTGGCCAGCACCACGCCCGGCCGCCTTTGTCTCCCCAGTGGCGATGTTTACACACCGCGCCAGGTGCTCCTTTGAGGCTGAGTCTACCTAGGGGTGGCCAAGGACAGGTTCAGATAATCGCCACCGGTGTTGGCCGTGAGCGAGAATGTAACTCGGGTTCCCGGGTTCGTAGCGCAGCGCGCCAACCGCTGCACTACAGCTCCCCCACGCGCGCACACACAGCCGCACACACACACAGCCGCACACACACAGCCGCACACACACACAGCCGCACACACACACAGCCGCACACACACACAGGCGCACACGCGCCCAACACACCACACAACAGCACGTAACACAACGTCCAGCACGGCGCAACACGCCACAGAAGAGCACAGCACAAGCCGCAGGGCACACGTGCCCGCCCGCCCGCCCGGGTTCTGTTGCTTGAGAGGGTGCCACTTGCGCTGTCTGTGTGCGTTTGCAGCTTTTGACGATGACGCCGGCGACGGCGATGGTGATGGTGATCTATCGAGCGGTGAGTGTTCACGCCCGGCACAAACACACCGGCACGCAGCACCTCCCCCGCTTCATAACCACGCTTTGCCACTTGGTAACCCACACCTCACCACTTCTCACCACTTCCTAACCGCCCGCCCCACCTTCACCCATGGAGTTAGTGCAGTATCGACTTGTGGGAAGCCTTTATCCAGCAGTGGATAGAGCCTAGATAATGAAGTTAGTGGCGCTCATCCCCTCTGAATTCATCTTTACCCGTCTGCATCCCTTACACTCCCCCCCCCACCACCCCCTCAACTCCCCCGGTCATCCTATAGCCCCTCCCTCCACTCCCTCCTTCCCTCCACTCCCTCCTTCCCTCCACTCCCTCCACTCCCTCCACTCCCTCCTTCCCTCCACTCCCTCCTTCCCTCCACTCCTCCACTCCCTCCTTCCCTCCACTCCTCCACTCCCTCCTTCCCTCCACTCCCTCCACTCCCTCCGCGCCCTCCCATGGCTGCCCATGGCCGCCATGGCGCGTGTGTTGCCCACCGCCGGGGTTATTTGTTCCTGCGTCTCTGCCCGCGCGCCGACGCTCCGGATGCGGCTGCGGCGGCGTTGGGCGGCACTGCCGAGGAGCCAGACTCGGGGCGACGTGACCACTTCCCAAGCCGGGGGGGGTGGTGGTGGGTGGGGTGGGGGGCAGATCGTAGGTGGCAATGAGGACGAGGAGGAAAGCATCCGCAAGGGGTGGGGGGTGCGTGTGTGCGTGCGTGTTGATGTGCCGCCGGAGCGTGAACGCACGTGCGTGTGGATCGGTGTGCGTGCGGGCACGTGTTCACGATGGTGTGCGCCTGCGTGTGTGCATGTGCGTCTATGTGTGTGTGTGCGTGTGTGTGTGTGTGCGTGTGTGTGTGTGTGTGCGTGTGTGTGTGTGTGTGTGCGTGTCTGTGTGTGTGTGCGTGTGTGTATGTGTGTGTGTGTGTGCGTGTATGTGTGTGTTTGTGCGTGTGTGTGTGCGTGTGCGTGCCAGAGCGCTATAACAACCGCAAACTCCGCCGCTCGGGGCCTAGCTCGGGTTACGAGCCGGGTGTCGTCCTCCTTCACCTCCTCCTCCTCCGTTTGTTTATTTTTTTAATTCTCGTTTAATGTTGTTCTCACCTTCCGTCCCGTTATCTCGCCAAAGCTACCCCTGCCTCGTCCTGCGGACGGCCCGTGGCACAGAGATTCGACTAAAACAGTCACGGGTTCGTGGTGGCCATTCAGTTCACGAGTAGATTCGGTTTTCTTGCCTTGTTGGTGTCGTTCCTTGTCCGTCCGATCCGGCCCGTCGCGTGTGATGGGCACGCGACGTCACGGACAGATCCCCCAACTCGCTTCACCCCCATCGCCAGAGCCGCTTCACAGCCCCACGGTTCCACGCGGTGCCGATCTGTACGATCCCGTACGATCCCGTACGATCCCGTACGATCCCGTACGATTCCGTATGATCCCGTACGATCCCGTACAGATCATACGATTCCGTCTCCTTCCGCGGGACGTTTGGATGCTCCCGGAGCGAAGGTGCTTGGGTCACAGCGTGCAACTCCCCCTCCCCCCCCCTTCCCTCTCTTTCCTCCTCCTTTCTCTTCCCCTCCCCAAGAAAACCGCCGCCACCACCCCCACCCACACTCCCCCCCCCCCCCCCCCCCCCAAGCGAGCTAATTAAAATTAAAAGCACGAACCACAACCGGTGTAGGACTCAAGTGAACGAGGGCGGCTGGGGGCGCTTGAGCGAGCGAACGAGCGAGAGAGAGGGGGGGGGTGGCGGCTATTGAATGACTTCATCTCCCCGTGCCCTTTGTGGGGAGAGGTGGAGGAGTGGCGCGGACTTCGTTAAACTCGCTCGCTCGCCACGCCGCAGAGGACGACAGCTCGCGAATTAGCCCCCCCCCCCCCCCCCCCTTACTCCAGAGTTGTTAACCGCTTTGTGGAAATGGAAATGGTAGCAGGAGTTCCGGATATGAAACCTATCCGCATCCTGCTCCAGCACCCCTCTCCACCGCCCCTCCGCCCCGCCGACGTTTCGCCAGCGCGCACAGACTCCCGTGGCCCGAGTAGGAACGAGGAATCGGGAACCTGCGAAGGGACAAGGTGGCCGGTTCCCCCCCTACCCCCACCCCCCACCCCCCCGCTCACCCGGTGATCCCCGTCGCCAAGCGAAGATTCAAAATCTGAATTTCGAACCGACCGTGGGGGGGGCGGGGGAATCCGACGAGCTGCGAAGCTCTTTGCGTTTAGTTCCTTGTCTCTCGCGCCTCCGATGAGCGCGGTTCGGCTGCGTGCGGCGCACAAGGAAGTTCAGCGCACGTACCGGTGACGGTGACGGTGACGCACGATTCGCGCACGTCCCAACAGGACATGGCCGGCGTCAGCCGTTGTCTCGATCCGCTGCTGGATGAACGCCTCGCCTTGCCGTCGGGCATCCGTCACTCCGGCGCGCGGGCCGATCCCGTCGCTCCGTCTCCGCGCCTGTCACGCCCTTTTGCCCGAACGTTGGTCGACATTCCGTCACCGCCGCCCCCGTGAGGACCCCGCGTGAGGCTCTCGGAATGATAACGGAGAGAGAGAAAACGTGAGATGCGGCGAGAGGTCAAAGAGAGAGAGAGAGAGAGGAGGGTGAGAGCGCCGTCGACTAGAGCGGTCGCGTGTACGGACGTCGCGACGTCTGCGCGCGTGACGCTAAGGGCATCCGCGAAACTACTGAACGTGCGTGCAGAACAGCTTCACGGCGCATCGGGTTCGTCCAGTTATAAATAAACATTCCGATTCTATGAAGCTGCCCCGTCCGGGGCCCTCGCTGGACCACGGCTGGTTAGGGTTGGTTCGTGAGCTGCCTGCCGCTCGATAAGAGTTTGAACATCGTTGGCGTAGATGATGATGGTGGTGATGGTGATGACGACGACGTTGTTCGTGATTGCTCAGCGAGCGAAGTGAAGTAAGAGGTCGAGCTTCCCGTTGGCAGGGCGTCACGCGAAGAGGCGGCCTCTCTCTGCAGGGGGCGGGGTAAAGGGGGCTCAAGTTGGGGGCGCAGGAGCCAAGAAGCGAGAGAGGCTGGAGACCATCGACTTCAAGTCGGCCATGACAGGTACGTCTGTGAAAGTGTGTGTGGGGAGCGGTTCTGTAGCGGTTAAGGCGCCACGAACCCAGCGAGCCGAGTTCGATTCCCGCTCACGGCCGACACCGGTGACAGTTATCTGAACCGATCCCGGGCCTCCCCTAGGTCGACTCGGGACTCAAATGAGTACCTGGTGCGGTGTGTAAACATCGCCACGGCGGAGACAAAGGTGGCCAGGCGTGGTGCTGGCAACCCACCCCTTTGCGTGCCGTGCCGGTCTTCATAGGTGCTGTTCGCGAACAACGCTTTGCCCAACAGTCTATATATTTGCCCACCCCGCCGCTGTTCATTTCGAGGCCTTTCACCACTGCGTGTGACCGCCTTGCTGCCATCTCATAACGAAACAGCGGGGCAATCCTTTCCGTACGATGACGTTGGGGCGCGGTCCCTCCCGTTGGGGCGCCGTGCTCTTGCGCGTTGCCATTTGAGAGTCGTGGATCAAAGGGCGGGCGAGGAATCGGCCTTTCCCCGTGGTCGTTAATGAACCTGTTGTTGGTGTTGTGCGATCGCAGGAGGGGGACACAGCGGGAAGAGGCGGAGGAAGGACGGTGATCAGCTGTTCCTAGCAGCAGAGGAGGTGATGCTGATCGCAGAGACTCGCTACTCACACAGAGATCACTCGCGAGACTCACTGCACACACAGCGAGCACGCATTGAGACCCGCTGCACACGCAGCGAGTGCCGGTTGTACTAGTTCTGGTAACCACTTGCTGCTGATGTTAGCTGTGGTCTCACCTTACCCCTGACTCTTACCCTGACCCTAACCCTGAATCCAACCCTAATCCCCTGGTCTCACCCTGATCTCTAACCCAAAACCCTAAAACCTTTACCCTGACTCTCACCCTACTGCCCAACCCTAATCCTTAACCCTAAACCCTGACCCTTAACCTTGACCCTAATCCTTGACCTTAAGTTCCTCACTCTCACACTGATCTCCAACTCTAACCCCTGACCCGGTCTCTGTGTAGTTCGGGACGATGCTGGATGAACATTCGTCCTCGGGCATCGACTCGTCGGGTCTGAACGCCATGGCCAACAAAGACAACTCTCGTGAGTGGGGTGGGGGGTGGGGGGTGGGGGTGGGGGGGCAGTGGGGGGCGTGGGTGGGGCGGTGGTGGGGGGCTAATCCCGCAGTGGATTGACAGAGAAGGGCCGTGCTTGAAGCGTGTGTTCCCGACTTTCGGATTAATCAAACAAAAATCTGGAAATCCATGCCCGGGATGCGAACATTTTGGATAATCTGCAAAACCCCCCCCCAAAAATTGTTTTGTTTTGAGCTGAAACGCGGACGCGTAAGCGGCGTCGCTAACTACCACCACAACAACAACAAGGATGAGGAGGTCGCTTCCGATACAAACGACGCTGGTTTTCCCTGACCAGGTAAGGCCGCACTGAGCTGTGTAGCAATGCTCTTGAACGCGTGACGTTGATTCTAAACGTGGAGGGAAAAACCGGAGGAACCGGTGAAAAATCCACGCGGGCACGTTGAAAGCGAGAGGCAACGCAAACGCCAAATATAAACGGCAGGCGTCAGGGTCACGATCGAACTCGCCCACGACCTCCTGCTCACCAGGCGAAGTTAGTTGACACGTCGGCGCTGTGAGCCGGCGGTGAGCCGCTGCCGCACTCCGCTCGTTGTGCCCGGCAAAGCCTCCCTGAGGCCTCAAAACTCAGGAGGGTCCTGCCAGGTTTTTTGCGGTACAGGGGGGGCAGGGTCGACTGGGGGGCGGGGGGAGGCGTGGCGGGGCGGGGTTTGGGGGGGGGTGAGCGCTCTGTGGATTGGGGCTGTGGCGCTTCGACTAAAGCTGCCGTGCAGGCGGTCGTGGTTGGCTGCCGGTCTGAGCACAGACGGTGAGCCGACGGGCCAGTGACCCCAATGACCCCCGGGGCGACCTGAGGCCGCCGCGTCGGTTGAACGACCCCGGCGGGCCTGCCTGACCCGATGCCGACCGCCGTGAACTCCGCTCCGCAGACGCCAAGCAGCTCAACTGGGAGGCGCAGCGCGACCGCTGGGTCCAGGGGCACGGAGACCGACGCGGGCGGCCGTCCTGGAAGAGGAAACGGCGGAGTGGAGGTGGGGGAGGGGGGGGAGCCCCGGCAGGTGAATTCGGGGGAGGGGCCCCACGCAAGGGGGCGGCTGGCGGAGGAGCGAGGGCAGCGGGGAAGAGGCCCGGAGGGAAGGAGAGGAGGAGCAGGAGGTGATGGTGACGATGGGGGTGACGATGGGGGTGACGATGGGGGGGGTGGCGGTTACGACGACGACGATGATGAGGATGACGACGACGATTTGGACGATGGAGGTGGTGATGACAGCGTGGATGATGGGAGGTGGCTCCGACGACGGTGGTGATCGTCATGGAGGTGATGGCGATGTTGTGTAGTGCCAATTGTGTCGATGGTTGTGAGATGATGATGATGGTTATGATGATGATGATGACGACAACAACGTTGGTTCTGATGACAGTGGAGATGGTTGTGATGTTGATTGATGAAGCAGCCGTTAACACACAGCTGTTCAAACTGTACACAAACCAGGAAATAAACGTTGGCGTGTTCAAAGTTGCATGCTCCGTTTGGTTATCTCGAGACTTAGTTTAAGTCAACCGGCGCTGGGATCCCCAGTGAGTTGAGTGATCGATTGCTTTTACCGATAATTTTGGGCGAGGTTACTCCAATAGTCGAGCAACACGAGAAGAGTTGGGAGAGCTATACAAGTCTCGCCTCTCTTGCCGTGTGTGCCGCTGGACGGGGAGGTGATGGGCGGGGCCTGGTGATATCATCGGCGGCATCGTCAGCCACATCGCGCTGGGCGTGGGGTTTTCCAGCCTTCACAAAAGTGTAACCGATTCGTAAATCTTATGTGGGACAATTGCCACGACTCTAAAATAAACCGTACGTTAAAAAATAATTACAAATACAATTATACTTTTATTGGACCACAGAAGCATCGTCTGAGTCTCAAGACTCATTCTTCTCAGAATACGCGCGTGTGCGTGTTGAGGCCTTGCTCGCTAACAGCACTTGCCCCATAAGTCCCGTTGAAGCTATATGGGGAACCTTTGCCTTTGAGGCCTTTCTCAATCCACTGTTGGATGAAGGCCCCCCCACCCGCCACCCACACCACAGCTGATTGTTGACCATACCTCACCACGCTGGTGGGGCAGTCAACCCATGGCACCTGGATCTGTCCCGTGACCACGAGCCTTGGCAACTTCACGCGGCCTCAAAGTGCACTTGGCCTGGCACAGGCGCCGTGGCGAATGGCGGTGTGTGCGTGTTGAACTTCTCTCGCGCACCGTACGTTGAAGCGCCGTGATAATTAATCGGAGGCGCCGGGGAAGGACGACAAACTTGACACGCACACACAAAATCAGTGCGGGGTCACTGCAGCGTGAAGAGCCCAAGATCGGTTTGGATATCGCTCGCCACTGATGTTAGCCGTGGCCGGGAATCGAGCTTGGGGAGGGGGGGAGGAGGGTTGGTTTATAGCGCAGTGTCTTCACCGCTGGGCCTTCACTACCCCCACCTCTGTTTATTATATTTAATTTTATTAATGAAAGAATGACGGTGAGTGCACGCCCATTCAATCTCCCGTAGCGGCAGTTAAAACATGGGGCAGGTTCCTTACATCCTTGCCACCCCCCCCCTCCGTCCCCCCCCTCTCCTCCGCCCCCCCTCCGTCCCCCCCTCCGTCCCCCCCCTCCGTCCCCCCCCCTCCGTCCCCCCCCCCTCCGTCCCCCCCCCTCCGTCCCCCCTCCTCCGTCCCCCCCCCTCCGTCCCCCCCTCCGTCCCCCCCTCCGTCCCCCCCCCTCCGACGCCGTGGAGAGGGCCTTCATCCAGCAATGGAGAGAGCAAGATGACAGTTGACCGTGGCAATGTTTCGTTTTAAGCGATGAAATTGTTGTGAGCGTTACGTTCACGGTGGGCATACACAATTTCTAAACATTATTTTGACAAAAATTTAAACACGAACTTTTTTTATAACAGTAAATTATGAAAACATTAATCGTATTAGGTATTTATTCATATTTGGGTTAGGCGGCGTCAGTGATTAAGGCCCATTGCGCGAAACGTTGGCATAGTATACAATTCTATTTCACAGCGCGGCATTGTTAGTGACAAATGTGGGCAAGATGCGTGCGGTATTAAATATCTAAAATGTTCATGAATTGACTCCACGCAGTTTCTTGGTTGTATATTTCTTTCGTTTATATATATTTAGGTGATCGAAACCTGATGTTAGCGAGTGCCTAATGAGCCTGGCTGTCAGCGCAGTAGATTACCACAGACTCGGTTTCAACGAGGACTCTGCAACGTGCGGCTCTTAACGGACTGCAGAGGAGGAGGGGCTCTTGAAATTTGGAGAAGGAAACAAGATGTCTCTTCTTGTTTCGGTTGCCAACCCCTGGCCGTGGAAGTCCAGGTCACCGTGGAAGTCCAGTTTACCGTGGAAGTTCAGTTGACCATGGGAGTCCAGTTCACCATGGGAGTCCAGTTCACCATAGGAGTCCAGTTTACCATGGGAGTCCAGTTGACCATGGAAGTCCAGTTCACCATGGAAGTTCAGTTTACCATGGGAGTCCAGTTGACCATGGAAGTCCAGTTTACCATGGGAGTCCAGTTTACCATGGGAGTCCAGTTTACCATGGGAGTCCAGTTGACCATGGAAGTCCAGTTCACCATGGGAGTCCAGTTTACCATGGGAGTCCAGTTGACCATGGAAGTCCAGTTCACCATGGAAGTTCAGTTTACCATGGGAGTCCAGTTGACCATGGAAGTCCAGTTTACCATGGGAGTCCAGTTTACCATGGGAGTCCAGTTCACCATGGGAGTCCAGTTTACCATGGGAGTCCAGTTGACCATGGAAGTCCAGTTCACCATGGAAGTTCAGTTTACCATGGGAGTCCAGTTGACCATGGAAGTCCAGTTTACCATGGGAGTCCAGTTTGCCATGGGAGTCCAGTTTACCATGGGAGTCCAGTTTACCATGGGAGTCCAGTTCACCATGGGAGTCCAGTTTACCAGGGAGTCCAGTTGACCAAAGGAGTCCAGTTGACCATGGGAGTTCAGTTCACCGTGGGAGTCCAGTTCACCATGGGTAGAGGTCGGCAATCTGCGGCATGTGGCTCATTAACGACTGCTTCGTGACGTTTATTAAGCACCGCCACCACCGTCCCGTATTCACCACGCCGTGCGTTGCAGCTCTTGGAAATATTGAGTGGTGTTTGTTGAGTTTATTACCGAATTCGAAAAAAACGTCTCTCGTTTTTTTTATTTTTCTTGCCGATCCCACTTGGTTTAAATAAAACCGAAGGCGATGGATGATGACTCCATGTATACATTCAATGTGCGCGTGGTGTGTGCGCGTGGTGTGTGCGCGTGGTGTGTGCGCGTGGTGTGTGCGCGTGGTGTGTGCGCGTGGTGTGTGCGCGTGGTGTGTGCGCGTGGTGTGTGCGCGTGGTGTGTGCGCGTGGTGTGTGCGCGTGGTGTGTGCGCGTGGTGTGTGCGCGTGGTGTGTGCGCGTGGTGTGTGCGCGTGGTGTGTGCGCGTGGTGTGTGCGCGTGGTGTGTGCGCGTGGTGTGTGCGCGTGGTGTGTGCGCGTGGTGTGTGCGCGTGGTGTGTGCGCGCGCGTGTGATGCACCGAGCGTGCAACATCTCCATACCTCCCCGCGCGCGTTTACTTGTGTGGCTCCAAGACCACGGGGATGGAGACACGGAGCACGGGGAGAGAGGTGGAGAGGGAGGAGGCGTTGGAGGGAGACAATGGAAGGGAGAAGGGAGACACCGGGGAGAGTAGGAGGAGGGGGACACGGGGAGAGACGGAGAATAGTGAGCAGGGAGACACGGGGAGAGAGACTGGAGACACGGGCAGAGGAGGAGGGAGACACGGGGGGAGAGAGACTGGAGACACGGGCAGAGGAGGAGGGAGACACGGGGAGAGAGACTGGAGACACGGGGGAGAGGAGGGAGACACGGGGAGAGAGACTGGAGACACGGGCAGAGGAGGAGGGAGACACGGCGGGAGAGAGACTGGAGACACGGGCAGAGGAGGAGGGAGACACGGGGAGAGAGACTGGAGACACGGGGGAGAGGAGGGAGACACGGGGAGAGAGACTGGAGACACGGGCAGAGGAGGGAGACACGGGGAGAGAGACTGGAGACACGGGGGAGAGGAGGAGGGAGACGGGGAGAGAGACTGGAGACACGGGGGAGAGGAGGAGGGAGACACGGGGAGAGACAAGAGAATGGAGAGAGCAAGGGACACACTAAAAGAGAGAGAGGGGGAGGGAAGACACGGGGAGAGCGACTGGAGACACGGGGAGAGGAGGAGGGAGACACGGCATAGAGAGAGAGAGAGAGACACACGCACACGAGGAAATGAGACGCAGGAGGAGACAAGAGAGACAGGAGGAACACGATGGGACAGGAGACACGGGGAGGAGACACGGGGAGAAGGAGACGGGGTAGACATCTCAACCCCTGCCTCCTCCTGCACCCAGCAGCAGCAGCAGCAGAAGCTGCTGCTGCTGCTCCTTGGCCGCGTACGTATCGCGTGCGTGTGCTGTGTAACACATATGCTGTGTAACACGTGTGCTGTGTATTGAGTGATAATGCCATGCGCTGTGTGGTATGTGTTGTGTGTGGTGGTGGTGGCGGCGGCGACCCCACCCCCTCGTGTGACGTGCCGGTCTTCATAGGTGCTCGCTAACAGCACTTGCCCCAATCGTCTGTTAAACGCTATACGGGCGATCATTGTATTTGCGGTTTTTGGTGTTATGCATGCGTGTGGACTGTATATCGTGGGGTTTGCAATACGTGTGTTAGGTATGTGTCGTGTGTACGATTTATGCATATTGTGTCTGTATGTGTGGAAAACAGTACTATGTGTGTGTTATGTGCGCTGTGTGTGCGTGTGTGTTGTCTGTACGGGTGTGCCTTTGTGTAATGCGCGCGCGTGTGTGTTACATTTGTGTTGTGTGTGAGTTACATTTGTGTTGTGTGTGTGTTACATCTGTGTTGTGTGTTTGTGTTACATTTGTGTTGTGTATTTGTGCACTCGATGCATGCATTGTGTGCGAGTACTGTAGTGTGTTTTACGCCACGCAAATGTGCTCACGAAAAGCACTTTCCCCAACAGTCTATTGAAAGGCTATACGGGGAATATTTGTCTTTGCCTTTAGAGTATGTGTGTGTGTGTCTATGTGTGTGTGTCTATGTACGTGTAATGGGGAGCGGTGGCGCAGTGGTTAGCGCGCTGTGCTACGAACCCGGCGATCCCGAGTTCGACTCCCGTTCACGGCCAACACCGAGTTACGAGTATGCGAACCGTTCCCGGAGGTCTCCTTCCACGTCGACTCAGCCTCAAATGAGTACCTGGTACGATGTGTAAAAATCTCCACTACTAGGGAGACAAAGGCGGCCGGGCGTGGCGCTGGCCACCCACCCCCTCGTGTGCTGTTCCCTCCTTCGTAGGCGTTGCTCGTTCATCAGCACTTGCCCCAACACTTTGCTAAACGCTATACGGGGGATCATTGTCATGTATGTACACTGTGTGTGTG